TTCTGGCTTCGAACTAAACTTGGAATCCGACCTATACTGACTTGATCGTCGGAGTGCTCACCTTTTTGTGCAGGTCCGCCCAAATGTTCAGGTCGATACGGAGGCCGAGTTCGAGCTACAATCAGGAACACACTGTTGTGCACATCTTTGCATAAACAACTGTAGTAAATAAATTACATAATCAAATAACACACTAGCATATGCGAAAAAAATGCATAGACTAGGATAGTCCCCCATATTGAAAAACTGTTCTTAACAATACCCCAAACTCGAACACCCAAAATCGGAAATTACAGCCAAAACTAAAGTTTTAAAATGTAAACGATAGAAAATGGACTGCCAAACAATGGTGAAAAACGAGCAAATCAAAAACAGATTGCTAGAGACAGTACCAAAAACAATGGTGAAAAGCGAGACGAAGTGCTGCCGACGAGGGAACGGAGAAAATGGAGAAGACTATCGAAAAAATGATGTTTTTTATGAAGAAGACGAAGAAACGAGTGACGGATAGTTGTTTTCGAATGAAGAAGACTTGGATATTTTTTATTTTAAAAAAGTGAAAAAATGCATAAAATTAGAGATTTAAAATTTAACCTCCAAAATTGAATTTCTATAATTTAATAATATTTAAATATATATAAAAAAAGATATATTGATAAATTATGAGTTACATCTTTTTTATTTTGATAGAGAAGTGTAAATTTTGTCAAATGGAATTATAATTTCTAAAAGAAATTGTATTATACAGGCAGATCAGCGATCTTTCTGAGATGGATCCATTTCACGAACAACAGTCCATCGCCCAAATCCAAGCCTGGGAAGAAAGGCCCAGCAGATTCTCCCGAGCGATTCCATGTCTCCAACTCAGTGAGTCTTCAATCCATCCTTCTCAATCTCAACTCATCCACTCCGTTTTGAATCTGTGTGCGCCATTATTACTGCAACAAATCCAGAACGGATAAGCGTTTCTCATTGTTACCTGCAAAAATGGCGTCCGATTCCGGCCATAAAGCTACGTTAATCGATGGCAAAGAAATCGCCCAGGCCGTCAGATCTGAAATCGCGGAGGAAGTGAACAAACTCTCTGAGAAACACGGAAAGGTTTTTTTTTTTTGATCAATTTCGATCTGATATTGTGCAACAATTTATGTGTTTAGCCGCGTCTGATTTTAGCATTTTGATCTTGTTCCTTATGGTGTGGATTTGCGAAGGTTCCGGGACTCGCGGTGGTGATTGTGGGGAGTAGAAAGGATTCACAGAGCTATGTAAAGATGAAGAGAAAGGCTTGCGCGGAAGTCGGAATCAAGTCCTTCGATTTTGATCTTCCTGAACAAGTGTCCGAGGCCGAATTGGTCGCCAAGATCCACGAGTTGAATGCGAATCCTGAAGTACATGGTTAATCTCTTCTCTACTTTTTGAATTCCTAGTGCCGACAATTGCATTGTTATATTATAGTAAATGCCTTTCTGCTAGATAAATGTTGCTTCGATTCGTTTTTCCAATCTGTAATAGATTTAATTGGAGCTTTTTATCTTATCTTTCTCTAAGCATATAGTTTATTCTTCTGAGAGCATCGCTTTTTAGTACTTTGCTTTTAAGTTTTTATAGAAATTTTCAAAATTACTTCTGTCTTCGAAAATATTCAATAGTGGCCATAAGTAGTTTTCACTGTTCTAGAAGTTATACTAAGCTTACCCTTATTATGTGATATTGGAGTTTTTGCATTTGGAAATTCAAGATTTTTTTGCATTTGAAAACTTTCGTTCAAATTTTCTCTCCAACATATTTATTGGTTTGTTGCTGTGAGACAGGTATATTGGTTCAGCTTCCTTTGCCAAAGCACATAAATGAAGAGAAAGTTTTAGCTGAAATCAGCATCGAGAAGGATGTAGATGGATTTCATCCTCTGAACATTGGGAAGCTTGCAATGAAAGGCAGAGATCCCTTATTCCTACCTTGCACTCCAAAGGCAATAACAAATGTTTATAAGCCTTAGAGAATAATCATTCAACTTGTTCTTAAATAAATCTTTGTCAACTGGAAGTGCAGTAGCCCCTTGTATATCATTGTTCAAGATTTCGATTTGTTTTTATGTAGATATTAGCTCAGAAAATGGAAGCTCATGTCATTAAGTTCACTTCATAGTCTCAGTAATAACGTTTTCTTATGTGCAGGGGTGTCTTGAGTTGCTGTCACGAAGTGGTATAAGTATTAGGGGAAAGAAGGCAGTTGTTATGGGGCGAAGCAACATAGTTGGATTACCAGTTTCATTACTGCTTCTGAAAGCAGATGCAACCGTGACGATTGTTCATTCGCGTTCTGTTGATCCAGAAAGCGTTGTCCGGGAAGCAGACATTGTAATTGCTGCAGCAGGACAGGCGCAAATGGTACGCTTGATTTTTCAATGGCATTGTTTTCCCCTCCCCCAATTCTTATATTTGAATATCTGTTTGGCTGCACTGAGAATTTCAGACTTGGGTTTCGAAGTTTACTCGAAAATGTTAGGAAATATGTTTAGGTGCTACATTAGTATTAGAAAAATAAAGGTTAATTTACAAATTTAGTCCCTAGATATTCATGTTTATTTCTGTTCAGTTAAAATATTGGTTCTATTTACTTTTATGAGAATGTGACATATTTATTGGACAAATATTAATTAGTTTGACACGAAGTGCTAGACAAATGATCGAAGGAAATTGATAGTGAAACAAAATAGAGTGACACCATCTATAAAATCATTTTATAGATAGGTCGCGTAAAGCACATGCCACTTTATTTTGTTAAATTATCTAACTTTTTTCAGCCATCTCTCTGCCTCATTGTGCCAAATCAGCCAACCATTTGTTCAAGTATGCAACATCATTATTTAGGTACAAACTTAATGCTAGAACTAATTAGAAACATAATTCATATTCAGGGACAGTAATTAGAAGTCTTTAAAGCTTGGATACCAATCAGATTCCAAGTCGTAATTTAATCTATTGAGAGTACTTAAACTTTGTCACATGCATGTGAATGATGGCTGTTGCACCATTTCAAACATGTCATCTGGTTACTAATATTCTTAAGATATATTTTTCTTTTTTTTTTTTCCTTTTATTTGTTGTAACAACTTTGTGAGAGACTTATTGGTGCATATTGTTGGTGGGTTGGTTGATGTTAGATCAAGGGCAGTTGGATCAAACCAGGTGCTGCAGTCATTGATGTTGGTACAAACGCAGTTGATGACCCAACCAGAAAGTCGGGCTACCGGCTGGTTGGGGATGTAGATTTCCAGGAAGCTTGTAAAGTGGCTGGTTGGATAACTCCTGTTCCTGGTGGCGTCGGCCCAATGACCGTCGCCATGCTGCTCAGGAACACTCTGGATGGAGCTAAGCGGGTGATCGAGCAGTGATACGATGTCGTTTCGGTGTTGAATCACTAAGAATAAGATGTTTCATATTTGGGGAGATAATTTTGTAGGAAATAAAAAATCCTTACAACTTCTGTGGATATTATGAAGAATTACTTTAGTTTGTTGAAAGTTGATATAGATCCGTGGAGTGTTCATTTTTCTCTGTGGGGACTTGCTCTAAACGAGAGGGGAATCTCCATTTAAGCTCTTCGTGGGTGGAGATGGGGACTAGAATACGTTGGCGAAACAAGAACTTTATTTGAGAAGGGGGAATTTTTTTGATAGGTGATAGGGTGGTTTTCCTTAGAGATAGAAAATTTGTTGCATTATCGATTATAAGATTTAGCTTACATGAATCGTTATTGGTTTGATAACAATAATAGCAGTCGTTTTATTGTGCTAAGAATCCACATGTATCAACAATTAAAAATTTGTATATGCTACATTTTCCCTACATTTTTCGTGCCTTATATTGTATATGTAGGCAAAGAAATATACATATGACACTGCCTTACATTTTGATAGATGATATTAATTTAATTCAATGACGTATCTATTATCGCGAGCGACAAATACGGGTTGGATGAAGATTTGTTTCTCCGGAGTACCAAAAATCCCAAAGCATGGTTGGATGACATCATTGTGAAGAGCATACCACCCTATCCTATCATTTTTTCTTTTAAGTGGTTTAAGAATTTTTTAAGGATTCTCGATAGGGATTTAATCCTGAGATGAAGATTAATTTTTGGAAATTAAGCATCTGATTAGAAATTTATTTTAAAATGAGAATTGTTTTAGAAAAATAATTTTTTCCCCTCGGAAAATTCAACAGGCTGAAATGAGATGGGGGAAGACTTGCCCATTCCCATCCTTGCCCTATGAACAGGCTGTTTGGTTTAAGGTTTATGAAAATAAATTTATGTATCTTTATTTTGTATGATTATTCTAATATCATGTTATTACTGTTGACAAAAAGTTGATATATTATTAAATTATTGTTTTATTACGTAGATATGTCATGAATGTTACTTGACTCATGAAGTTTTCCACGAGCCCATTCAGCAACATCTATTTCTTTCAAGTGCACACCTACATGTCCAAATATATCAAATAAATAATAATTTAGCGACATAAACTTTCTTCTAACAAACTTTTAACACATACATTTTTCAAGAATTTTGGAATGCACTAGGCATACAATTAAGAATTTTTGAGATTAAAGAGATCAAATTCACAAAGAAGAAAGAAAAAACCTACAAGATTAAGGATTATTTGATATATTCAACTAAAAATATTTAGATACTGATTAGTAACACTTATCGACTACCACTAAAAATTTGACAACTCTTAATTTTTTTGACAGATCTTTATATTTAAAAAAAAAAAGGAGGAATAAATCTCTGTTTTTGGATTCCTCTATTCTACTGGTCAAAAATTTAATGATAGTCAACAACAACCAGATACCACCTAAGTATTGTTAATATTCAAGCGTCAGAGATCAAATTGAAACCAAATATAAATCAATTTATTTTCACAATAATCCCGAAGTAGTGTCTATAAAAAAAATTACTTAATTGAGAACACTTTGGTATATCCTTGAAATTTAAGCCATGCCTATCAGATAATTCATTTTTAACCAAGAACCAATTATTGTTCACTTCATATTATTCTCTATATTTTTTCACAAAATAACTTAATTATTACCCCAAAAATATATTCTTTCTATCTACTTATATCAATTTATCCAGTTTTGGAATAAATGGTGGTTAATTTAATATGTACCTATCGATTAAAGTCGTTGATAAGAATATAATAGTATGATATTATCTATTTTAGACAAAACTCTTATAATTAATCAAAAGATCTCGTAGCAATGGAAATAATTGTCCTCATTTATATACAATGAATATCATTTGCACATCTTGCACCCATAACACTCTGTCCATCGCGAGTTGTCGTCGCGTATTTTGTTGGGTATCTCCAAATAAACTCGGTGCATTGAACGAGACCGTGTCGGGCCGGATGAATAGCTCATTAAATTGACAAATGTGGAAGCATCCGAAAGTTTGTGGGACAATAAACACACAAAATTTATTCTCCACATTCAAATTGGTCAATTGAACAGACAACAAAGATTGAAGCTTTGGTCCTTTCCAAGTTCTTATATATAATATCGATTTATAGTGTGATTTTCGACTTTCGTTCCTAATTAAGTTTACTCAGAGAGCCAACCTTTTCAGGAAAAATGTTAGAAAAAAAATTCAACTTACAAATTTAGTCTAAAAAGATGAAAATATGATTGCGTCTGTTTTGTTTTAAAATATAACAACTTCAACTGGGTCTATAGATTTTAAATTTTTGGTTCAATTTAGTTAATGTTATTGTGCTTTACACGTGTTGAAGCCAAATTGAAATGTCTTTGGGCTTTTGGGCTTGGGCCTTTCTTTTTTCTTTAATAGTTGTTGTGTAGAGGCTCTCCCGGAGAGAGACATATGAATTCCTTTTGTAATTTTTTCCTCCAAGAATTGAGTGTTGCTGTCGATACACAGTGGATGTAGGCTTTAAGCTGAACCACTTTAAAATCCTCTGGTGTCCATCTTCTCTCTGGCTATTTTCTTCATTTCATCTGCTTTCAAGAAAAGAAAAAACAAGATTATTCCATAACAGTTATTAATTTAATGATGATGCGACATTATGAATTTTAAATGATTTGATGCAAAGTGATAGATAAAAGGTAGGATGAAATGGATAGTTTGACAAAATAGACTGATGACATAGTTGTTGGGATAGTGAAGTCAAAACAGATGATTCGTGTCTTACGTGAAAAATGATTTTCAATACTACTACGAATTCGTACAAAGAGTACGATATTTTTGTTTTATAAGAATTACAATATTGTTATCCAATAAAAATTATGATATTTCGATTTCTATAAATAGAGCCCTCTTGTAATTAATGTTTTATTTGTACAAAATCTAAATAAAAGAAACTGGTTGTAGGCAATGTGTGAAAAATAGTTTGTATCCCGTGGGTTTAGTGAGGGCATTTTTGATTGTGTAATCCTAGGTAGCCATTATATATCCATTGTAATATTACCAATTATGGTAGAATTTGCTTTTTGCAGAAGATTGGACGTAGTCCCCAAGATTGCAACGAACCAGTATAATCCATGTGGTGTTAAGCTTTTTCTATCTCTATCTTTTATTTCTTTGTTACTGTTTCTTACTTATATGCTTTTAACCTATAGGAGAGGAAAATCAAATAGTTATTGTTTGAAGAACATAGAGGAGAATCGATTGATCTATATTTTTTCCACATCAATTGGTATCAATAGCATTTATTTCATAGGGTCATGAGATTATCAAATAAGTTGAAGGATCATGAAGTTAGATGAGGCAAATTTCAGATATTAGAAGATACAGATTGATGACTACTTGACCTGCAATAAGTTAAATAAAGTTTTAAACGAACGACTATGAGGGATGAAAAATGAAGATTCGGTAGAAACGAATGAACATGTAGTTGTCATTATCAGATTGTGTTTGTCGATAAATGTAGCAAGTCTTGTAGCTAAAGAAACGACGACAATAGATATGATGAAAGCATTGAAGAATAAGTACGAAAAACCCCAAGCTAATAATAAGGTACATCTAATAAGAATATTTTTTAACATTCGCATGGAAGATAGTATTTCTGTCAATTCCCTCGTAAATGAGATCACAAATTTAATCAATCTTTTAGTAATGAAGTGAATGTTATTTTGTTGCTTATAACATCTTTACCTGAAAGTTGGGAAACGATGAAGACAAAAATGTCCAATTCGTTAGGAGATAACTCTTTGAAATTTTCAGAAGTTTGTGATGTGGTAATTGCTGAAGAAATTCGTAGGAAGGAGATCGGAAAAGAATCTACTTCTGGATAGGACTCTTGGCTATCCAAAAACGTAAAGAGAAAGTTGCGTCTAATAACAGGCAGCAAAAACATCGCCGGAGGGATTGGAAGAAAGATGCCGAATGTTTTCACTGCACAAAAAAAGTTCACATCAAGAAAAACTGTAGAATATTAAAAGATGATGTGAAAAGATATATGGTGGAGGCAAATGAAATTGTTGACGATGCCCTCGTGTGTGTTGAGAACCACACAAAAAAACAGGAAACCAATCATCAGAGTGGGTAATAGAATGTACGTGCAGCTTTAGTACACATATCTTAAAATAGAAGATTATTCACATATTTCAGGAAAAGGCAATCATTGTCACGTCAGGATGAGAATGGAAAGCTTTCCAAGATTAAAGGGATTGGAAATATACAATTGAAAATCAATATAGCCCTTTTGTTAATAGGTTTTATTTGTATAGAATCCAAATAAAGGAGACTTTAGTGGTGGTAGACAATGTGTGAAAATGGGTCTCTATCTCGTGGGTTTAGTGACAGTCTTTTTAATTGTGTAATCCTAAGTAGCCATTGTTAGGGTACTTAAAAGCAAGATAGTCATTGTATATTGATATATTGAGTGAGATCTCTATTGTAATATTTCCAATTTTAGTAGAACCAGATTGGGACGAACTAGTATAATCATGCGATGTTAAACATTTTTTTAATTCATATCTCTTATTCTTTTGTTATTGTTACTTATCTGATTTTAACTTGTGGAAGAGAAAAATCAAATAGTTCACATTTGAAGAATTTAGAGGCTCTTAGTAAGGCTCACTCACTCTAACAACATACCTTTTGCATGATGGGTTAGCAAAGAAAATGGGAACATCGGCTTAAGCCAATAGGTGTAGGCGCTTTCCAGAGGTGGAATCTTCAAGTTCTTCCTATTTGACCAAAAACCGATCGATCTTGCCATGAGCTAGTTGAAGAGAGCTCTAACAGGCCTTGGAGGACTGAACCCACCTATGTGAGGATCGATTGATCTATATTTTTTTCCATCAATAATTTTTTTTTCGAAAAAGTTAATATTTATTTAGTCAAATTATCTACTTTTTCTTCTAGTATCGATTCGCTTCATCGTACGAATTCAACCAATATTTGTCGAATAAGCATGCTAGATCACTATTCAATGAACAATAATAGTAGGGCCAGTTAGAATCATAAAAAATTTCAAACGATAATGTTAATGGATTCCCAAAAAATCAGGCAAACTCTTGCTAAAAAAAATTTCAAAACTCTTTTTATCTTTTATCTTTCAACATATTTAAGGTTGTCTATATACATTTATTGCCAATGATTTTGTTAAGTTAAATTATTATTTGTGCCAATCTTGAATATTCATAAATATTCCTAGGGATAATACTTATTATTCCCTAGGAATAATACTTCCACTATATGTTTCTTTGTTCTGTTTTATTTACTTTTCAAAAACTACCTTCACGAAAATCTAAATCTAAACTAAAACGAG